CGCAGCAGCACTCCAGCTGCTCGGCCCCCGGCTTCTCCGATTCAGCCGCTGGTCAGTTTTAGCAGCAGCTGAATTGGGGAAGCTGGGGCAGAGCAGCTGCAATGGTCCGGCTGCCCGGAGCACTTCCGGGTTCCTGATGGTGCCTGACCATCGGCGTTTTACTGTATACTATTTCAAAGCAATTTCAAAAGCAAGCTGGGGAGAGAAGCTGTAGAACTTGTTTTCATTTACAAGTTTGACACCTTGAATAGAGGTTTAAACAAAGACCTCACTGGATGGGCTGCTACACTCCAGACCCTAATGACATAAAAAGCTAAGCACTGGGTACTTAGAATACTTAGAGCCCAGTCTATTAGTCTCATTTAGCACGGACACACTAACTGGCATAATTCCCCCCCTCCTTTCCCGCTCCTTCCCCTCTCTTTTTCTGCTATTTATTTGTACCCTGGACCCCTTAACTCCATTCATCTGAAGAAGTGGGCTGTGCCCATGAACGCTCATGATACCATCTACATTTTTTGTTAGTCTCTAAGGTGCTGCAGGACTATTTGCTGTTTTTTTAAGTTTTTTCAGTTACAGACTAAACATGGCTACCCCTCTGAAACTGATTCATATCGGTTAACAATGTCGGTGACACTCAGGTGGCTCCTGGGGAGGTGGCTTCACTGCAGCAGGGCAGCAAAGCCTCCTCCCTGCATGCCAGCTGGGCAAGGGCTGCCCACTCACCTCCTAGGAACGGGGTTTCACTGAAGCAGTGATGCCTCCTCCCTTGGAGCCGAGTCAGTAGGGGCTGGTGGCTATGCTTCCCGGGAGGCTTGGGCTCTGCAATATAAAGCTTAGTAAGTATTTAAAGGTTTATAATCTAGAACCCACAGCGTGTAACCATGTATTCACCGAGATTTTTAGAAGTTGCACAGTTACCTATTTAACTTACTTCCCTATTAGGAATGGACTTAAATGAAGATAGGATCTTAATCTTATTGAGTTGTGATAACAAGCAACTTTCATTGTGGGTTTATGGAATTTTGCTTTTTTAAACTGGTTGATATGAGATTGAGACTGGATCAGTTTATTGTGTGTTTCAGTGGACATGTTTCTTTTCTGGGTTGAAAAGCTGATTGTAAACAAAATGAAACACTTGGGATCAACTCCCTAGTCATCAAGATTTTTTACAAATGTGATCTGTAAATTAAAGAGAAATGAAAAGATAAGTCAAATGAGCTCCTCATTTGATAGTTTGTGCCAATGGGTTTCCACTCTTGTTCTTAGTGATCAGGCTCTTCTACACATGGGATGGCTCCTGTGCTTTCCTTAGCTCTAGGCAGAAGTATTTGTTTCCTTACATGTCAGATAACTGGCTGGATAGGTAAGCCAGATATCTCTAGTGGCAGACTTCCGTAGCCATGGTTGTTTATATATCCTCTTGTTCTGTCTCCAGACCTAGTCTAGGAGTGTTTTTGTCCTCTCAGGGCAGGCAGAAGAGGATGCCATGGCCATAGGTGTGGAAGCAATGGCAGATGAGGATGCTGTGCTTGCTCTTTATCTCAGACTTCAAATGGAGAGCCCAGCTCCTCACCATGTACCCTTCTTAGGAGCTGAAGCCAGTCAGTGCATATTGCAAGGTTTCCTGTACTGTCCTCTTGCAATCCTACTGTCTTTAGCACTCCTGATCCACTCCAGGTCACAGAGTATTTCAAAGAGCCCACTGTCACAGATCTAACTGGAATCCAGGGAAGGGTTAAGCCTCTCATGCTTGGATGAAATCTAGTGACTCTGCTAATCTCTGGGTCTATAGGCATGTACTTAGGGTCAGACCTGCTGTCTGCATTTCATCCTCAGAGCTGGAACCTGCTGTCCTGTTGCTTAGCTCTTCTGGACTCAGTGCTGACCCTTTAGACATCCTCATATTTGAACAAATATTCCAGAGTTGCATTGCAAAGGTGGGAAGCTTCTGGCTTCCAGTGGAATTATCTCCAATGCATTTTACGCACAGGAGAGATCCAAGTCTAACACATTTGCTCTTTTAGTCATCTGCACAAACATTTCCCCACTGCCATACTATTGTGCACGTCTCCAGGACAGATGCAGCCTTTGCATCTGTTCTAGATCGGTCATCCTAGCTCCCACTTCTAGAAGTTTGGATGCTGCTCAGGACTTATATAAACTGAAATACCCATATAGACAACTACTTGAGGGAGATATTACTTTTCTGTACAGTAACTGCAGTTCTGAGATGTTCTGCCCCTAATAATGTGCCCCAACTGCTCTCCTTCCTTCCTTTTCAGTCCTTGCCTTAATAGCCTTTCATAGTTGAGAAGGTAGCATAGTGCCAACAGGTCCACCCGCTCCTATATGAACTTGAATCAGATCACAAGTATGTATAGGGCACTGATGTAGATCTTGCATGCCCAGTTACCAAAAATCTCAGATCAAAAGTCTGTGAGTTTGCACTTATCTGAAGTGCCATAGGGCCAAGACATCTCAAAGAACAGCAGTTACTGTATAGAAAAGTTACATCCCCTTTTCTTGGCCGTTCTTCTGGGCTCAGGAGAGCAGAGAGATCTTCCTACTTTACGCAGCCCCTGAATGCTGAGGTTCTGGAAATACAGCTGGAGTCAAAAGGCTAATCAGCCCTTTTTGTCTGGTGACATCCTGCTCAACCTCCCCAGTTGACCAGAAAACCCCGCCGATAACTTTGTGATGAAAGGACAGCTAAAACAAGAATCCACAGAAAAGGAAAGAGTAATTCTCTGAGGAGATTTGGAAGATTAAGATGTTTTCTCTTCTTCAAGGCCTTGGCCAAGATTGTTAGAGAGACTTAAAGGGATCTAAACTATATGTTCTTTACCCCTTGGTTTTATGAAAAGTTCTGGATCTGGAAAACAAATGAGCTTCTGAAAAGATAGACTGGGTGTATATAAAAATATTTCTGAAGAGTCTAACCTTTGATACTTGGATCCCACTGTCAGAAAATTTGGACTCTGCCTCAAGGAAAGATTAAAGGTCTTAAAGGTCAATCGGTAAAAAGGGAAATAAAAACAACCCAGGAAACTACAGACCAGTCAGTTTAACTTCTGTGCCAGGAAAGATAATGGAGCAAGTAATTAAGGAAATAATCTCCAATCACTTGGAAGATAATAAGGTAATAGGGAACAGCCAGCATGGATTTGTAAAGAACAAATCATGTCAAACCAATCTGATAGCTTTCTTTGATAGGATGACAAATCTTGTGGATAAGGAAGAAGTGGTGTATGTGGTATACGTAGTCTTTAGTAAGGCATTGGATACGGTCTCTCTTGATCTTCTTATCAATAAAACTAGGCAAATACAACTTAGATTGGGCTACTATAAGGTGGGCGCATAACTGGCTGGATAACCATTCCCAGAGAGTAGTTATTAACAGTTCACAATCCTGCTGGAAAGGAGTAACAAGTGGGGTTCCACAAGGGTCCATTTTGGAACCAGCTCTGTTCAAGATCTTCATCAACGATTTAGATATCAGCATAGATAGAGAGTACGCTTATTAAGTTTGCAGATGATACCAAGCTTGGAGGGGTTGCAACTGCTTTGGATGATAGGGTCATAAATATATAATTCAAAATGATCTGGGCAAATTGGAGAAATGGTCTGAGGTAAACAGGATGAAATTTAATAAAGACAAATGCAAAGTACTCCACTTAGGGAGGAACAATCAATTTCACACATACAGAAAGGGAAGCGACTGTCTAGGAGGGAGTACAGCAGAAGGAGATCTAGGGGTTATAGTGGACCACAAGCTAAATGAGAGTCAACAGTTTTTTACATGATTCTACGATGCATTAACAGGTGTGTTGTAAGCAAGACATGAGAAGTCATTCTTCTGCTCTACTCTGCGCTGATTAGGCCTCAATTGGAGTATTGTGTCCAGTTCTGGGCACCACATTTCAAGAAAGATGTGGAGAAATTAGAGAAGGTTCAGAGAAGAGCAGCAAGAATGATTAAAAGTCTAGAGTACATGACCTATGAAGGAAGACTGGAAGAATTGGGCTTGTTTAGTTTGGAAAAGAGAAGATCGAGGAGGGACATGATAGCAGTTTTCAGGTATCTAAAAGGGTGTCACAAGGAGGAGGGAGAAAACCTGTTCATCTTTGCCTCTGAGGATAGAACAAGAAGCAATGGGCTTAAACTGCAGCAAGGGAGGTTTAGGTTGGACATTAGGAAAAAGTTCCTAACTGTCAGGGTAGTTAAACACTGGAATAAGTTGCCCAGGGAGGTTGTGGAATCTCCATCTCTGGAGATATTTAAGAGTAGGTTAGATAAATGTCTAGCAGGGATAATCTAGACAGTACGGGGTCCTGCCATGAGGGCAGGGGACTGGGCTCCATGACCTCTCGAGGTCCCTTCCAGTCCTAGGATTCTGTGATTCTAGTATCTCCTTTGCTGGGTATTATAGCATTTGTTTCTATGGATTTGTGGATTTCTGAAGGAACATGGAACTGTTTGCCAAAGATGACTTTTTAAAAAGAAGCTAGAATGCATTTATTTGACAACCAATTTGTATACAATTACACTTAGTATGATTGTCCAGAACGTCAAACACTACAGCAGGAAAAGATTTTTCTTTCTGTATAAATTGGGTACTTGTGATAATATTCAACATTTTGCAATTCTTGCAGCTCTTTTATGCATAATAAGTTATCTGTAATATTTTTCATAGGATTCTTGATTTGGATCTGGTTGTAAGGGATGAAGATGGCAACATTTTAGATCCAGAACAGACTAGCACAATCAGCCTTTTTAGAGCTCATGAAATAGCTTCCAAGCAAGTTGAGGAAAGGCTACTAGAGGAAAAGGTGAGATACACTATATCTATTATCATTTTTAAATTAAAAATCATGTACACTAATGTCCAAAATAATGATTAAATACAATTAATGCAGGAATTTGGCTTAGACTTCTTTTTTTAGTCCATGAGGAATTCTGAAAAGTGTCAGCAATATATTGTGTAACTCATCTTATCTGGGCTTTATAACTTACCCATCTTTTTAGAAAATGCGTCCTATACTTCAGAAATGTAAACATTGATATAATATTATTCCAATACATTAATTAATTGATGGATTACTATGAGAGAGAACTACAAAGATGGCATGAATATTAATGGTGTTTTTCTTGAGGCTTAAGTTAGGATACTGTGCTGTGGTTCAGATCGGTTAATATTTTAATTAGGATTTCATATGGCAACTGTATGCCGAGTTTAAAAAATGCACTGTGTCACCTGTGGCAAGGAAAAAGAGTCCTTCGGAACTGTATGCAAAGTAAAAAATTTTCAGAATTTAAACTTTTGCTTACAAAAAGTTATTTCTCCCAAAGAATCATCCAAATGCAAATAGTGAAATCTGCTCTTCCTGAGCTTGCATGTAAACAGCTTCATCATCTCTGCTGCTGCTCACTGGTTGGCCAAACAGAAGCAAAACGTATTTAACAAGGCTCTGGATAGGTTATGGAGCTGTTTAGAGTCATCTTCTAGTTGCTGTTGGGAAAGCTAGAAGCAGCAACCGTAGAGGCTGGCTTTAAAGTCATCCATTGTGAAGAAAAACTAAAAAATAAGAACTAGGGGAAAGGCAAATTAGCAATCCTGTCTTCTCCTCCTTCCTGCCTTACAGCCTATAGGAGGCCAGGGAATGAGTAGAATAGTGGAGACCGAAGGATAACGCCTCTGTTCTAGCCTACAAATTTGAAACTTGATCCTTTGCTCCATTCTGTTGTTTCGTTGGTAGCTAGAGACTAATACAATAGAGAGCTCCAAAGAGATGTTGGTGATGTGGAGCCTGGGAAGTAGGGTGTGGGGGCACCAGCCCCGCCTTCTCTGCCACTTGTTCCGTTCCTGCCTACCATTGCTCCACTCCTCCCCATCCATCTTTTCCCAACACTTTCCCACTTGTTACGGCTGTAAGAAGGGTCCAGTGAGAGCAACCTGCCAGAAATCTCAGCACACTTCCCATTTTCAGTGTAGAAAAGGTCAAGGGCTTGGTCTTCTTCCCCTTGGCGGAGACGCACTCTTTTTTGCCCTGACTGAAGTGTTTACCTGAAATATTTTAAAGTGGAGAGGTGTGATTGAAGAGTGTTTTTAGTAGTTAGTGCTGTTGAAATTTGACTCTTCTGTCCATCTTAAATTACAGTCTCAAAAGCAGAACATTGATATTAACAGACAAGCCAAGTTTGCTGCCACATCTTCATTTGCTTTATTTGTAAATTTAAAAAATGTAGTCTGCAAAATAGGAGAAGATGCTGAAGTCCTTATGTCTCTGTATGACCCACTGGAATCAAAGTTTATCAGGTTAGTGTTGTCTGTCTGTTGCACTATGTATACCTGTTTTTGCCTCTCTGAATTTTGGTGAGAGGGAGTCTTTATGTAACATTAAGAAGTAGAATCAAACCTGGGACCTCTGGAGTTCAGTGCATGAGCTATAAACCAAGCTAAGGTTATAGAGCTGTCTCATTATTCTCTCTGAAGTGGTCTTGGTGCCACTAGATGAGTGTGCTGCACTGTCCCAAAAGTTGTGTGGGTTATAACTGCAGATTGGAAAGGGCTTTTGGAAGGTCAGTTGAATGGATAAATTGTAGCAGAAAGTTAGCAGTGAACCATGGTTTATACAGCATTTAATATGCTTTATTCAAAACAGCAACAGGTTCAGTTACATTCCTTATTACATTGTGTTTTTAGTACCACCTGTGTAGACGTAATTGGCACATGAACAAGACTTGGCTCGTTCTCTGTTCAGCTGCTTTGGCAATCATCAGATTCTGTGTGTTCTGGATCTCCTGTTTCCTTACAGAGACTGTATTCTACTAGGCTGAAGAATTGTTCTTTTATTCACACTACACACACAAAGCACAATGGCCACTTCCCACCGAGTAAATGTTCCTGTTACTGTAATATGAATAAAATACACCATGATATCAAGTTTAAAGAGACAAAAAAAGTATATTACTTTTTGATACTCATGATGATGTTTTTTGGGTATCCATATATGACTACAGGCAGTCCCCGGGTTATGTACAAGATAGGGACTGTAGGTTTGTTCTTAAGTTGAATCTGTATGTAAGTCGGAACTGGCATCAGCCGCTGCTGAAACTGATCAGCAGACCGGGGAGACCGGGAGAAGCTTTTCTCGCACCGGAGGACACGGGTGGCGACCCACCCCCCGTGAGCTCCGGGGCGAGAAAAGCCCTGTTCGTAAGTGCGGATCCGACGTAAGTCGGGGACTGCCTGTATATGAATTAGCAAATTATTCCTGTAGGAATCTTAATGCTGATACATTTTAAATTTAGATTTTTGAACAGTGATTCTGCTCCAGAAACTGACTTTAAAAAAGCCATTATGAGTTTCCATAGTTTTATCTCACTCAGCAAATTAGATCTGGAAATCATATGGTGTGTTAGTGTTTTTCAAACTGCCTGCCCTGCAAACTTAAACTGAGAACTGAAAATCAAACTGGTTTCTTTTGACTCATACATCACCATAGCAGAGCTCAGTTAAATATCCCACTGCTTCTTGAGCTGAGTAAGAATCCAGAGTTGTGCTGTCCCAGAGGGGCATGGTCACTCTTATATTAACAGGTGTACTAAAAAACAATCATAAAACCGAAACAAAACTAAACCCATCCTTTCCCTCCCACTAAAATAACAAGAAAACACCAAATATAGTTTAGTTGGTAAAATGACAGAAATGGCAATGTTTACACACAAGGAACAAGCAGTTGGGTAAGAAGGTGCTGTTTAGCACTTCACTGAGCAGAACCTCACTTAGGTTATATCTAGACTATATCCCTCTTTCTAAAGGGAATCCCTCTTTCTCGGGGGAAGCCGGCAGCGGGGCGCGCCTGGGCTGCCCCGCTGCCCGAGCCCCTCCGCGGCTTTGCTCCGCGTCTTCCTGGTCTGCAGACTAGGGAGACGCGGAGCAGGTTTTCTCGCCCCGGAGTACACGGGCGGCGGGACCGCGAGGTCCCGCAGTCCGTGTCCTCCGGGGCGTGAAAAGCCCCGTTCGTAACTGCGGATCCGACATAAGTTGGATCCGCGTAAGTCGGGGATTGCCTGTAATATAAACTCATACATATATCTAAAAATGTATTTTTAAACCCTTACTTTTACAGCGAAAACTACCTAGTTCGATGGTCAAGTTCTGGGCTGCCGAAAGACATAGACAGGTTACATAATCTTCGAGCTGTGTTCACCGTAAGTGTGCTTTCGTTTGTGCAGAGTTTTAAAGTGCTTTGTTTCCTGTCTTGAAAAAGAGTTTAGTGCGTAGCAGCTTATCTCTGTAGATTTGAATTTAAGTCCTGGAGAAATTTGTAAGTCATTCTTTATTAGTGACTTTAATACAATTTTAGTCAAATGAGGTTCATGTGGGTAAAAAGCCAAGTTGAACTACTGAAAATTTTGAAAAAGATCTAAATTGCTCAGAAATACTTGGTTCCTTGACTTCTCTGTAAATTAATGCTTAAGTATTGTTATGAAAATTCTATTGTCATGAGAATAACTTACTCTAAGGTTAAAAGTTGGTATCTGAATAGACTGAATTTTGAACAACTTGCCTTTCTGCTGCACCTGAAATGAATAGGATTCATTTAATATATGAAAATTAATATTTTTAGGACCTTGGCAGCAAAGACCTGAAAAAAGAGAAAATCAGTTTTGTGTGTCAGATTGTAAGAGTAGGCAGAATGGAACTAAGAGACAACAACACAAAAAAACTAACCGCTGGGTTAAGACGACCTTTTGGAGTAGCAGGTAATCTATTCTTCTTAGTTTTTACATAGTCAGATTCACTGTAAATAAGAGCTGTTTTTGGTATTGAATAATTGCTTCACGTTTTTGTGAGCTTTTTGGTAAAGGTGGGTTACAATCTGCTAAATCTTTTGTGCATGTTAGATTTATGTGTTATACTTGATGTAATTTCATTTAGGAAGGAAAAATTGAATGAATACAAAATGGGGAATAATTGGCTAGGTGGTACTGCAATTGAAAAGGATCAGGATATTATGGTGGATCACAAATTAAAGGGGTAAACAAGGTAATGCAGTTTTGAAAAAAAGGCTGATAACGTTCTGGGCAGTATAAATGGGAGTGTGATATTCAAGACAATGGTGAGCTTCCACTGAAGTATTTTGTCCAGTTCTGGGCACCACACTTTAGGGAAGATGTGGACAAGTTGGGAGAGTACAGAAGAGAGCTACAAAAATGATAAAAGATTTAGAAAACCTGGCCTTTAAGGGAAGGATTTAAAAAAACTGATATGTTTAGTCTTGAGAAGAGAAGACTTGAGGGAAGACTTGATAAGTCAAATACGTTAAGTGCTGTTTGGGTACGTCTACACTACAGGATAAAGTTGAATTAAGAGATGCAACTTCAGCTGTGTTAATTGCGTAGCTGAAGTCGAAGTACCTTAACTTGACTTTTGGCGCAGTCTACACTGTAGGAAGTTGAGGGAAAAACACTCTTCGTTTGACTGTCCTTAGTCCTTGTGAAAGCAGGGTTACTGACATTGACCAGAGTGCCTCTCTCCTTTTGAATTGGCTGTCTTAACTAGACCACCAATTCGAATCCTGGAAGATCGAAAGCAGCAGCTTCAATCTTCTTCTGTAGTGTAGACGTACCCTTTGAAAGAGGACAGCGATCAGTTGTTATTAATGCCTACTGAAGGTTTTACAAGAAGTCATTTAATCTGCAGCAAGAGAGAATTGAGTTAGATATAGTTTGAAAGGTTTTCTTGTAATAAGTGTAGAGAAATTCTGGAATAAGTTTACAATGGAATCCCCATCATCAGAAGTTTTTAAGAATATGTTGGATAAACACCTGCCAGGATAGTTTATGTTTGCTAGGATTTTGTGTATAGGATCAGGTATTTCAAAATATACATGAAAATATGCAAATATACTATAAGTTACGATTTGAATTAGATTAATTCTCCTCCTGTGAAATATATTATCTTTTAAAGATTTGAAACAGCAGAACATCTTCTCTTCTAGAAGATCTGAAGTTACTCAGGATTAAGTGATTTCACTGGTTATGATTAAAAGGCAGACATTCAGAATTATTAGGGATGAGGTGCAGATAAATGAAAGGTCAAAGACATCACATAAAATTGCTCAAATTAAGTGGAAAACACAAATAAATGTAATCGCTCACTACATAGTCACATGAGTTGCATAAACAAATTGCTTTGTCCTTATTAGAAACACAGGCAAGACAAAGGAATTTTTAACAACACATACAGTTGTGGAAGAATGATGTATGTTAAAATAATATTTTCTGAAATGTAAGCAGTAAGTAGGCTTCTAGCTTACACTGCCTACACAATGAGAGGTATTAAGGCTTGATTAATTTTGTTTTTCTTTTTAATGGGCTCTTATCGACATTAAAACATTAACAAGTAGATCACCTTTAAAAAAAATTCTAGTGGCTTTTGATAACTAAGGACCTGGCTACACAGGGTTGCTAGAGCACAGTGAGCTTGGGTGTTGATTTAAAGCACACTTGGGGTATGTCTACACTACAGCGTTAATTCGAGTTAACGTAATTCAGAATAGTTAATTCGAATTAAGCTAATTCGAAATAACGCATCGATACACAAAAACTATTTTGAAATAGCGCGTCCACACTGAGTAGACCTTGAACCAAAGTTAAGGCTGGCCAGAACCAGTGCTGGCAGGGAATCAGGTTAGGACTTAGTGTGTGGGGCTGCTGCCTGAGGCTAACTGAGTTCTGTCCTTAAAGGGACCCTACCCCCACCCTGGAAAGACGGTTCTCAGGGTTCCCCACTTGCTTGTCTACCTTGATGAGGGGCAGCAAAGCAGTCCTGTGTTGGAGTGCCCGCACTTGTAACACCACAGCACTCGGCCACATGGAGCCAGAGCTGCCCCTGGACATGCCGTTGCGTCTTGTGGGGTCATTGCCATCAGCCCGGCTGCACTTGCTGCAGGCTACCATCCGGGGGGTCCATTGGGGGGTTGTCAGGATCCAGGAGGCCCTGTGGGAGAGCGTCCACCCTGAGGAGCCCTCAGAGTCACCCTGGTCCTCCCCACCAGGGGCTGGTGCCCCATTCCTCCCTCACTTCCTTCCACTTACCTCTCCCTAGCCCCCCTTCCTGATGTCAAACAAAAGACACGTATGTTCAAAAACAGAAACTGGGTTTATTGAACAAAACTGAGGGGGGGTGTTGAAACTCTGGGGAGACTGGGAAAAGGAAGTGGGAGAAAGGGAGAGAGAGGGGAGGGGGAAACCTGAGAGGGGAAAGCTCAGGGCCCAGGGTTGGGGGTCTCGCCAGACCAACTTGATTTTCATGCGAACCTGCTCCTGGGTTCGCATGTGGCCTTTGGTGGCCAAGCTGGCAGCTATCCTGCCATAAATGGCCACGTTCCTCCATCTAGTGCGGAGATCATGGACATTGGGGGCATCCCCCCAAACCTGAATAAGGTCCATGATCTCCACCCTGGAGCAGGAACACGCCTGCCTTCTCCAGCCCCTGTCAGGCTCCTGGGAGCTGGCAGACTGCTCCTGGGGAGTGGTGGAGGGCTGGTTGCTAGTGGCTTACTGGCTCATGTTTTGGGGCCCCGGTGGCCACTGTTGGCTCTGGGCTGGTAGGCTTGGAGCTGGCACAGGCACTGCGTCAGCTCCAGAATCTATCCCTTTAATGGCTCTGGGCTGGGGAAGAGGAGAGTAAGTTTTCCTGGTTGTGCCCAGAGTGGCCACCAGGGCTCCCTGGGAAGGACTGGTGGCCCCCTATTTCAAATTAAGTGTCTACACAGCTTTAATTCGAAATAGCTATTTTGAATTTGGCATTACTCCTCATAGAATGAGGTTGACCAAATTCGAATTAATTTCGAAATAGCGGTTTTCATGTATAGACTCTATTAGAGTTAATTCAAAATAACGGCTGTTATTTCATATTAATTTTGCAGTGTACACATACCCTTGCCATTTTGCACCAGCCCCCTGTATGGACATGTTTTCTGTTCATTAAAAGTGTCATTGTGTGCAGTAGCAGAGGTATCTTAGGGATGTCTTAAAAGGGCCCTTGGACTGTTTAGGTTAGTTCACAGAAAGTATGTCCACAGAGAGCAAGTCCAGAGTAACCGGTGGGGTCCTCTTCCTTAAGTAGACAAGCTCCAAATGTTCCTTAATGTTTCCTACCTGTTGCCTACAGTAAAGGGAATTTTCCAAAAGCTGAGAATATCTATGATAATAATATCTGAGCATATCTAGAATACAGTTGGAATTCAAATAATCTCTGCCTTGCCCTGTTGTACTCTTAAATACAGTATAGCAGTTTATAGCAAATTAAGAAAAATGTTCAGACCTACAATTTTTCCTCATGCTCATTTAAAGTAATGAAGCTTTCCCCCTACCCCTACAGTCTGGCACCAGAGGCGGCCGCCTTAGTTCACCTCATGGTAGGACCAGCCCTGGCTCTGTTCACTGGTATTATGCCACTGATCTCCTAAGTCTTATATTAACCAAACAGAATATTGATAGAAAGGCTATGTAACTTTTGTTTAACACAACAAAGAGGAACTTTGATGGGCTATCAGATGAAAGATAACAATACAATTCACGGAGTACAGTACATGACATTGTTACTAGCCAACCTAATGTCATTCTCTCCAGATATGATTTTTAGAGCTTTGACATGATTTATTTCTATATATTCACAACATTTTATCTGAAGACTATCATAAAAAGGTCCAGAGATGAATTATTTCAAAGACTGTGTATGATATTTCTTACCTCCATTCATCCTTGCAACTGACTATGCTACATCTCATGCTGTTGAAAATTAAATGTAGATCTGAAGACTTATATTCTCTGTCTGTCTGTCTCTTTCTCCTCCCCCAAATGAAGAAATAACTTAAATAATAGTTTTCTTCATCAGGCCCTATGCTAATAAAGTGGTGACTTGTATTTAGATTTGGATCCTTGGAGGCACATGCAACAATAAGCTTCTTGGTTGTTCATGTAAGCAGTTGTTTAAAGTTCGATGTTTTGCTATAGAACTATACTGGTTTTATGCCATTGTTAATTTCTTTTATTAGAGATGAAGAGGCTGTAGAGTACATAGTTTGTCCCCCATCCTCATCCGTTGAGTGATTTAATGCAGTAGCTTTATTTTTATTTCAGTAATGGATGTAACTGACATAATCAGTGGAAAAGTTGATGACGAGGATAAACAACACTTTATACCATTTCAACCGTAAGTATAGAATAATGTAAAGCATTATCAGAATTGACTTAAGCAGAATTAAATGTAAGTCAGCTAATGTTAGAGAGACATTTTCGAGTTTATAAACTTGCTATAGATTGGAATTTTAACACAAAAGGTCTTGAAACCAGTTTTTCCCTCTTAGTTCTCCATTAATTCATTTGGAATGAGTACTGGTGCCAAAAGAAAAAAAAAGTTCACACATTTCTAAGTGCTTTTTTAGCTTTTCCATTTGTGTGTGTGAAAAAGCCTGGAGCTAACTAACTAGATGGCCCAGAATTTTTTAAATAGATGTTTTAAGCTTTTTTCCTTTATAGGTTACTGGTTTCAGTCTACTCAAGGTTGGTAATGACCACAAGCTATTACGTTTAGTGACCTGTATTAAAGGAGTTACTTGTATCAGGTGACAGCGCATGTTATTAAATCACAACCATAATTGTCACTAATTGGCAGACAATTAAAGATAGAGAAACCAAAGAACGAATGGGTAGAAGAACTAAAATAACTCATCATATATTTGGGGATCAAGGTGTACTAGACCCTCAGTTTGACAGCTTTCATAAGTATAAAATTATCTATAAACAAAACACTAGTTTTTTAAAGGAGAAAATAAAAGAAAGCACTATGCCATGTGAATCTTCATGCAGTGTTATAAGATATTTATAAAATTAATAAAAAGCACTGCAGTGTACTGTCAAAGGTCAGATGTGCATTTTACTTTGAATTTCTTAATCTGTTTTTGTTGGTCAAATAATTCAGATTCTGAATGTTTTGTATTTTTGTATTTATGTGTGTGTATTGGTTTTCTGCCTTTTTAAAGTATTTTTTAGAACGGTGTGCTTACTGTTGACAAAGGACTTAAGAAAACAGGGAGGAATTTAAAGATTCCAACTTTAATATTATAAAATGAGGAAGGGGTAGTGAGGATAAATAAAGTACATCCCCAATAAAATATGAATGCTCAGCTTTAGCACTGTTGAATGAAGCATTGTTATAGTTGAGTTGGTCCCAGGATATTAGAGATACAATGTGGGTGAGATGATATCTTTTATTGGATCACTTTCTGTTGGTGAGAGAGACAAATTTTATCCAATAAAAGTTATTACTATATCTCTCTGTCTTGGCTCATCTTTACTATTGTAAGAAGTGTAGACACCAAAGTTGTTATATAACCGAGTTTCCTTAAGATTTAATGTACTCCTAAATTTGGTGAGATTTTTTAAATCTAGAAAGAAATATATTAAATTATTTTAATCTAAAAAACCTTCAGTTTGGAAATGAGACCTATTTAAAAAGTACAAGAATTAGCAAGGTTGTTTGGGGAGCTTAAAGAAAATTTTAGATTGCAGAACCTGTAGGAAGAAATCAGGTGACTAGCAGACTAGCACTAAATACTTAAAGGTTTTAGTCGACCTGCTTCATGTTTGTATATTATGATAGCAATGGAATGGTGTGAAATACATAATAGTCTGTAGAACAGTAACACGATTCTATTGTTCAAGGAAAGGAGCTTTTAAAGAAGAGTCCTTTTGTAAGATTTATTTATTGTATTTAAACCAATTACAAGCTTTTATTTTACTGTGTATGGAAGTATGAACAGAAAATTAATCTTTTTGGATAAAGAAAATGTATGCTAATAGACTGTTTAGCTTTTTGCTTCATTAAAACTGACTTATAGTCACTTTGTGTATAAACCTGCTTTTGGAAAGGTGTGCAATATGTTTTTGTTGCATTTTTTTCAGTAAATTAAAATATTTCTCAGACAAAGTCTACACCAAGAGTATGAGTAATGTGCAAACATATGATGAATAGCTGTGTCATTATTTCTAATGTTGACTTAAACACTGTGTGTATAAGAAGCATATTTTCTTACTCATTTCACGCTGTGCTTTTGTTGTGCTACATGCAGTTCTGTTTTCATATGTATGTTTGTTTGTATTCATTCACTGGCCACCAACACAACAGCTGTCAGAAGCACTTGGCAAGACTGGTGTCGGTACTTAAATGACATTTGTAAACGTTTAATTTTATTTAGAATTTTTCACATTTTCCTTTCTTCACCTAGTATAACAAAATTATTGAATATCTGCTTTTCTTATACTAAGCCATTTCTGTTAAAATTTAAAGTTGTTTCTTCTGTAAATTCAGTCAAACCATATACACTACCTCTTAAAATTCAATGGTTGAAGCTATCCTGAAGGTTGCAGAGAATTAACATACTGTACATTTTTGCAAAATCATCCCAGTTAAACTTCAGTATTTAACTGGGTCTCTCAGGGGCTCAGTGTTCTTCTTTACTATTGTACATGCTATTTATTGGAAGTGGGATTGGGACCTAATAAATGCATGCTCCTGTTGGGAGGAGGAGCGTAGGATTGCTTGACTTCTCTTTCTTAGGCCAGCATTTTCCTGATTAATGATCTTCCTATATCTTTCTTGTTACCTTTCCTGTCCTTTGTCTTGCGTTGACTAATAAATACTCTTCGTCACAACTATTATATGATCTTTTGTGTTCCCTTGTTACTGTGACTTCTGGTTTTCTGTGACCCTTTGTTTCCTGGTGTTGGTCGTCATGTGCATCCTCCAGGCTAGCATTGGATGACGCCATTCGACACAAGCAGCTGAACATATCATCCCGTTTTTCACCCAGGGTGGCAGGGGAGAATGATTTCCTTCAGACTGTTATAAACAAAGTGATTGCTGCTAAAGAAGTTAACCACAAGGGTCAGGGTAGGTACTGTTCTTTATGTAAACTGGCATACAAAATATATCTTTGCTTCGCACCATCTGACTCTATTAATTTGGACTGGAGGATTCATTTCTTTGCTTGCTTGATATTATTTGGTACCAGAAAATACACTTGTCCTGTTCTCCCTCTTCCCCAGGACTCTTTCTTTCCCTCTCCCCCTTTCTCCGGCTTCCTTTTTTGAGAATATTGTTATTCTGCAAATGATCTTCTGTCCTTCTTATGCAGTGCTGGGCCATTTTTACATAGTCTGTACTTCTGCCTTATCCACACATATATGTTTGTGTATTCAAAGCAATGACTCAAGAACTGGCCTTCATGCCATTGAACTTTGGCTCGCCTGGATCCATCGT